TTTATGCACCAAGAGCTTGTAACACTCCAAAGAGAAAGGAACAATTGAAATCGCATCATATGACCCCTTTAAAGCTTTTAAAGTCACGTTTAAATTGTTAAATGTAACAATAAAATAAGTAACTCATTTTTAAATGCAACTTCTATTGATTGATTTTTGTTTTTCCTTTCTTTTTTTAATTACTACATTTATTCATTCCTGTTATGTGTTCAGCAGGGCATTGAAAGGCTTAAACAAACCATTTGAGATTAGTTAGGGTTGGACTGTGTATGTGCACGCCATGTTAGCGAATCGATCTTGGATTACATTATGCTGTAAATATTTTGTTTACAGCATAAAATATGCATCCAGGCTTGAGTATTGTCCAGTTTTGAGGTTAAAATAACCCAAGTTTTGCATAATGACTTGTAGAGCCCTGGCATCAAGTGCACTGTGACAACAAACCGTCGGATAGAGCTGCATCTGACGGCTTGACAAAAAAAAAAAGCACTTCAGTCACCGAGGGGCGTAGTGGTGATGGCATCTGTTGATGACTTGCTACAGTTCTACTGCAGACTTCACAGATTGAGCCATTGTTTCTTTATAAGGGAACTGCATTTGAAGTTCATCCACAGCTGACAGACAGAGCGCCACAGATGGACTCGTACACTAAAGCAGCCCTTTGTTTGGCCACAACCCATTTGTCTTTGTCTAGAGCTGGAGAGAGTGTGTTTGAGGCATTGTCCTGTCGCCGCCAAATGCATTTATATTTGAAGTACTCAGACGGTGAAATTGGTTGTTTGATTTATTTTGCTTGGATTGATCTTTTTGATGTTCCAAAGAGCCGTGAATGTCAGAGATGTTGTCTCTAAATGTCTTCGTATTGTTATAGTGTCAGTATCTCAATGAGAGTTTCAGTGTCTTTGTTTGTGTACGCCTTTTGTTGCAACTTTCGATTGAATTGGCAAAGGCATGATCTATCAGTAACTTGATTGTGATTGTTATAATAGTGTGCTGAGTTCTCTGTTGAGTTGCCTGAAGGAAGCCATCAGGTGAATAAAGGCCCTTTCACATGATTTGTCAACGTTTTCCAGCACGTTGAATTAGATGGAGTTAAACGTCGAGCTACAGTTCAAGCGTTGAAACATCAATGATCAAATTATTTCAACCAGATCTTTCAGTGAACAGCAGGGCCGTTTTTTTTTTTTCTGGACTCCTTTTTAATGGTTAAATAAAATTGTATTAATCAAAAAGCATGTCTAATTAATTAAAATCATGAAACTTAAACAATTTAACATCAATTTATTAAAAGTTTAACAAAAATTACATGTTTAGGGCCCTATGAAATGTTTTATTTTTTCCAACCTTATGTTTTATTGTTACCAAATTAGGATTTAGCATGTCTAATTATTTGAAAACATAAAAACAAGTTTAATTTATTCTTACAATAGCCTTATGATTTTTTGCTCAGAAATTCTGTGTTGTTTATTTAAATTTTTAAGGCATCAAATTTAAGGCAATATTCATTTAATCTATCTTTTAAGTAATGAAAATTAAACTAATTTACTCAATGAAACGGTCAAATGCTGATGAAGTGACTCTCAGAGCAGTTCTGGAGATGTTGTTCGTGTATTTATGTCCTCAATTTAGTGAGACGGCAGACGCTAAAATCACCGCAAGCGTCACGCGCACTTCAGTACAAGTGGTAAACAAAACCGCGCGTCTGCACCATTCATTAACACAGAGACACAAATAATTAATATTTAAATAGTCATTTTGCGGCTTAATATTTACAAATACTAGTGGGAGTGGGAGTGTGCTCACTTGTGTGTGCGCGTGTGCGCATCGGGGCGGAACTCCGCTGTGCGTGATACAGAGAGCGCGACCATAACGTAGAGACCGAAATTACATGCTGTAGTGTAAATAAGATAAATAACGTAAGGCTATTTAGTTTGTTTAATAAAAGAACAACAACGTTGTGTAGTATGGATTCGCTCTCTTTCTATGAGGGGATTTTTGGGTTTCATTTGGTTTTGAAAACCTTATACCATTTTCAAGAAGTTTAAATTTAATGACTCTGGAAAAAGTCATGTGGTTGTCAATTATTAATAAGCAGTGAAGCAGTTTTGTAAAAGCTTTAATAACAAAATGTTGTGCCTAATGTCTTTTTGCATTATAAAAAATACGGTTTTCTTTTTTTACTTTAGGCCCACCCAAAACGAACACATTGAGAAATTAAAAAAAAACATGCTCAACTTTTAAAGGCACGTTTTAAAGCAATCATTTTGAGTATGATCTGTATTTTTAATGCAAATTTGAATGAATTAATAGATAGCCTTATGTCATGTTTAAAAGCTTGTTCACAGCGAGGACGATAACTATAACTCTAAATATAATAATTATCTTAATTCTTTGAGAAGTCCACACCACAAATATAACAATATAATACAGCCAATCAGAATTCACCCAAGCATTAAAGTGGCAGACTACATAACTGCAGTGCATGCTTATAATAAACAGAATCTTATCACCCGTTGATGTGGTCGCTAATATAGTTATTGTTATAGTTATTTGTAGTTATTTTTCTTGGTGTGAATGGGCCTTAAGTGGTCCAGACTGCAATTATATAATATTACTTTCTAGTGTCACCATGAATGAACTGTTTAATCCAAATGTAAGAATCAGAAATGACAAAGCTCACACAGTCATATAGGATGATTTACCATTTTTGTCCGTAGGTAGAACATGCTGTGTGCTTACCCTGGTGTCAGTGATAGAGTTTAAAATACTGCAGCATATCTGGCTATACAGTGATCTCTTGCTGGGCCAGATTTGTTTCTGATCCATCTGTTCATCAGTGGTCAGAGCAGAACCCGCAGCCTGTGGCTGTACAGGTCATTTTAGCCGAACAGTCCCAGCAGGGACGGAAACGGTCCAGAGCCACTGGCACGGTGCATAACAACGGCTGCTCGGTGCCTCAGGTGTACTGCTGCACACTCCGCAGCAGATTGGAGCTCTCCGAGGAGCCATTATTAGATAAAACATCTCACATTACCTTCTCGAAATGCACCCCTGCTATCTGTGCAAGCTAGAGCAAGAAATCATGCCTCTTCCATTTTCTCAAATGTGTTGTCAATTTCATAAAATTGACCTATTAAAGTGGTTTGCTTCTTGCCACTGCAAACTGTTGCATTTTTTTGTGGTGACATCCCCAGGGAATGAAGGGCTAATGGAAGTTTTGCTTAAACTTTATCTTTCATTTCATTTACAGCTGTACTTACAATTTCTGATTTAAGATTAGGTAGTGCATGCCACTGCAAACCGCTCATGCAGTGGGTTTTTATGCTATTTAGTTATTGAACATTCTGTAGCAATTGTTAATTATGTCCCTTGTGTTTTGACAGTTGGGGCTCGGGGGGCAGATTTTGGCTGCGATAAACCAATTTTTCTCAGTCTGTGGGCCACCCACGCTGCTAAATTGATTTAATGTTAATAGGCTCGGCCACTTCTCCCAAACTCTGTTGACTTTCTGCTGCTCACCACCAGAGCACAAAGTCTCTAAGCATCTCACACTCTGCACATTAGTGCCTCACGATTACAGAAAAGTTGTAATCAATTAAAGAGTCCACACATCTTTAAAACTATTTTTTGTGATTATTGAAATGTGCACAGAATTTCAGGGACAAATTCAGGGATATCTGTGTGCCAGGTCTCCACTGGTTTTCCCAACTGTTGCCAGTGGTGACTAGATTATGAGCCATTGTCAGAAATGTTAATTTTTTGTCACATTTGTGACTATTTTAGTCATAGTCTGAAACCCTGTATGCCAGTCCCGCTATGACCATTCACCCTAAAATTGAATAATCAGTCCATTTATTTAAATTTTTCTATTGTAGCATAATACACAATAAATATTTGAGATGATATGATATGATGAAATAATTTTCATTTTGTGGTAAGCTAATCCTTTAAAATTGTGTTCACACTTTTTTTTCACACGTACATTTGAGTTTGAGTTTGAAACCAAATTCATTTTGTCCCCCTTTTCTTCAGAACACTCTTGTCAATCTGAATCATGTGGTTCTTTTGTGTGAAATTATGATAGACTTTTCATTTTGGGGTGAACTAATTCTTCAAAATTGTGTTCACACTTGGTACATTTGAATGAATTTGAAACCAAATTCAGTTTGTCCCCCTTTTCTTCAGAACACTCTTGTCAATCTGAATCATGTGGTTCTTTTGTGTGAAATTATTATAGACTTTTCATTTTGGGGTGAACTAATTCTTCAAAATTGTGTTCACACTTGGTACATTTGAATGAGTTTGAAACCAAATTCAGTTTGCCCCCCTTTCCTTCAGAACACTCTTGTCAATCTGAATCAATTGGCTCTTTTTGTGAAATTATGATAGACTTTTCTTTTTGATGTGAACTAAACCTTCAAAATTGTGTTTAGTTGGTACTTTTGCTTGAGTTTGAAACCAAATTCAGTTTGTCCCCCTTTGCTTCAGAACACTATTGTCATTTCGAATCATGTTGTTATTTTTTGTATGCCATGATGACAGAATGTTCCTTTTGGGTTGAACTAATCCTTTATAGCTATGTTCACACTTTGTACATTTGATTTAGTCGAGAATGTTTTTAAACCGAATCATGCAATTCTTTTGTGTGCAACCAAGTTTAGATGACAGCTTTTATTCACACTAATCAAAGTAAATAAATCTGTTGAAATCAGGTCCACACCAAAACCACCTGTGTGAAAGTGTCTCACCACCATAGGAAAATGAGCCTACACAGTATATTGAGAATCATAAATACTGAACACAAATGCAAATAAAAACAAGTGCCAAATTCTTGGTTGTCATTGTAGGTATGTAGACCTTAACATGCACTTACAGACTCTGTCAGACTCCCTTCCTGAGGCAATGAAAGCTCTGTGATGTTTTCTTTTCCTCTTCACTATTCTAGTGAATTAAACAGTCTGTTGGAAATGCTGATGACATTTTTACCCTCTTCCCGGTAGATATCTGGAGTCTAGGGGTCATCCTCTTCATGCTGGTGTGTGGTCAGCCCCCTTTCCAGGAGGCCAACGACAGCGAGACCCTCACTATGATCATGGACTGCAAATACACTGTACCTGCCCATGTCTCCAACGCCTGCAAAGAGTAAGTTACTGCCTTAACCTCTGTCTCAGCCCCAGTCAGATCATCTCTGGCATTTCCTGCAGCTTGAAGGTTGACATTTTTTCCTTTAGGCTATTGAGACACAATGGCTTTCTGGAGCCTTTCACTGTACATTCATTATCTATAAAGCCAGACAGAGTAATGTTGACATGGATGTTAATAAGCTACCTCAGACAGACAATCGTGCTTCTTTTCTTCTGTGACTAGTTTGGAAAGGTATTATGTGGGACTGTCATGATTATATTTTGGCAGGCCATTAATTGTCATACAAATAATTGCAAATAATGATTTAATTTTGCTCACATCAGTTACAGTGAAACCATACAAGAATTTTCCGGGTCTAATGTAAGTTGAACTCATATGACAACATTTGTGGCATAAATTGTAGCATTACCATCAAAAATAATTGACTCTCCCCCCTTTTTTTTAAACCAAAAAGTTGTGCATACAGTGGACATAAACCAGACCAGAGTTGTGAAAGATTTCAAATCGAGAATGTGAGATTTGCTCCATGTTACAATTTGCATGTGTGTCCCTTTATCTTAACCTTGCATATATTGGGAGAATTTACGCTGTCAGTATTTATTTATTTTTTTTACTAAAGATTATAATTTAAGATAAATGCTGTTCATTTGAATTTTGTATTGATCAAAGAATCTAAAAAAAAATGTATCTCGGTTTTCAACATTGATAATAATAATTTTTTCTTGATCACCAAATCAGCATATTAGAATGCTTTCTGAAGGATCATGTGACACTGAAGACTGGAGTAATTGCTGCTGAACATTCATCTTTGCCATCCCAGGAATTAAATACGGTTAAAAATATAAATTAAATTGTATAATAATATGCAGAATGAGACCTTATGTGTCCCTAAGGTGTCAGGGTGCTTGTGATTGGTTTACCGAGAGTCAGAGTTTGCGTTAAATGTGATAGGCTGCCGTAGCCAGACTGATCATAGTGTGTCAAACAGCACAGTTATGTAACCGATAAGCTCCAGGCATGAGCCAGAACTGACCTCTCATTCACTCACAATTTCCCCCCATCCACTCCAAACTGTGTCGTTTAGCTCACACTACTAGCTATCTCTTGCGGTTTGTCCTCAGGAACTTGCATGTCAGGCCAGTGTGTGTTTGTTTTCCAGTTCTTTGTCCACGCTTTGTGAGCACACATGTTTAGTGTTAACATCTTTCAGAACTACTGCAAACAGCTAAAATTAGACTCTGCTTATAGCAGAGCTTAAATAGAAAGTCTGTTCACAGAGAAACAGTGCAGAACACACACACACGCATGTTCACGTCCAGCTGGTGGACACGCTACAATCTGGTCCAAAATGGTTTGTGTGCTTTGCATGCCCTGCCACCATTTGAGCAGAAATGTATCTTGGAACATCATCTTTTGAACAGTCTTTGCAGATGTGTGTTTTTGGCAATATATGCAAATTAGTTACATGTTCAGTTAGTTACATATTTACATGGCGATTCATTGCAGTTAATTGCATGTAATGGTATTTGCTCCCAAATAATTCAGAAAATTAGATTTCTTAAAAATTACTGAAAGATATTTCAAAGGCTTTGAGTCATTGAATAGCCATTGCGAAAATTGTCTTTATAAGTGCATATATATATATATATATATATATATATATATATATATATGTTTTATCTTAA